AATCTGTTGTTAATAGATTATCTGACAACATGGTAGTAAGCAACCAGAAGGACAAAAATTGCAATGCTATCATATTTTTTTTTTGCCAGAAGCTTTACAATATGCTTCACTATTTAGAAGATTGCGCAGTGATACATGCGTGGCAATACTGAATTTCTCAACATCCAAATATTTTGCAAGAACTTCTGCATTGAAAAGTTCAGAAATGTAAGGATTTACTTGTTCACTTTGCAAGAGAATGTTGCAAAAAAAAAATCCCTAAATCAGTAGCTTTTGGTTTTTCAACTTACAAATGACTGAATATAAATATCACCTTGATTAGCCTCACATGCTGTACAGTATCTCTTCTGCCTTGCCCCCACAAGAATACATGCAGTATCTGTTTCACATTCACTAGGCTCTCCTCCTGCTCTTAAGTGCAACACTTCTAATGCATCACCAATAGCCACACCTGGTTCCAGCATAGCTGTTTTCCATTTGAAACTGAGAACAAAAACAAGTTATCCGACAATACTGTCAGAAGAAAAATCTGAAGCCCACTTTTCTTTCAAAAGTATGCCTGAAAGAGTACCTAAAGATAATCCTCGTAAAGATATGAACAATAGTTGACAAACACCATAAATGGCAAAATCAAGAGCAGCTGTCAGATAATTTGAACACTTGCTTTTGTCAACAGTGCTTTAACTGAGTTACACTATGAACAAAACAACATACAAAAATCACCAAACACACTGCTGCATTCCTCCAAGCCAGAACCAAAAATCTGGGACTAAAGGTAGATAGTCCAAACTAATAGGATCAGTGCCCAGTTAACAAGATTACAGCTAAAAATGCTTCGCCACTGAAAAACAGAGGAAAAAAGAAAAAGACAGCTGATGGCCGAGAACAATGTGATAAACCCAGCAGAATACCGCAGACTTTGCATTGTGTCCTAAAGGCAGATCAGACTGTCAGAATGTTAAGCATGGTTCAAGAGCCTTTGTGAAAAATTAAGGAAATAATTAACCAAAATCTGTACATCAAGAACAAACCACAGCTTCAAAATCTGTAGAGTGTTTATATAAGGTTTTGTGAAACTTCAGAGAAGAGTTCAGAGACTTTGCTAACTCTTCCAGAAAACAACAATAAGCAGCAAAGTCAAAGATCTGCAAGTCTAAAAGAGTTTAGAGTATCATTGAATCATAGAATGGCTTGGGTTGGAAGCAACCTTAAAGATCACATAGTTCCAACCCTGCTGCCATGGTCAGGGACATCTTCCACTAGACCAGGTTGCTCAAAGCCTCATCCAACCTGGCCTTGAACACTTCCAGGAATGGGGCATCCACAACTTCTCTGGGCAACCTGTTCCAGTGCCTCACCACCCTTTCAGTGAAGAATTTCTTCCCAATATCTAATCTCAATTTACCCTCTTTCTGTTTAAAGCCATTACCCCTTTTCCTGTCACTACATGCCCTTGTAAAAAGTCCCTCTCCAGCTTCCATGTAGGTCCCCTTCAGGTACTGGAAGGCTGCTATAAGGTCTCCCCAGAGCCTCCTCCTCTCCAGGCCGACCAATCTCAACTCTCTCAGCCTGTCTTCATAGGAGAGGTGCTCCAGCCCTCTGATCATCTTGATGGCCCTCCTTGGGACTCACCTCAACAGGGCCACATTCTTCTTATGCTGGGGACCCCAGAGTTGAATATTCAGAGAATGAAGACATTCCAATCTCAATTTTTGCTGTTTTATGTGCAAACAGCATGTTCGGCTACAGTGGAAGTACCAAGGCCCCTTTTCCATCCTCCACAAGTGAAGGCTCACAGTTGATCCCACAGAAGCAGTATTAAAAAGCTTTTAACTGCAAAACTGAGATTTTGCTCATTAGCTTTCTTGCAAACAGCCAGAAAGGCCATCAAATCAACCTTAAAGGCTAAAAAAATTTGCTTGGTTCTAGATACTTTAAGTGACACCCCAGATATGCTATCTTATTACTAAGTTTGCAATCACATCTGAAGGGCAGAATTCAGTTTTAAGAACAGGTGCCCAGAATGAATGACCAATCTATACCTCACCTATTATTTCAGCTTTGTGAGTCAAAGAACCACAGCAGACCACTTTAGTAAGGCAAAGCCACATAATGCAACTTTAGTAGGTTGATCTTGGCCACTGCATTACTTAAGTAGATGAAAAATAGGAACAAGTCCCTCATTCTTAAATGACGAATGCAAGCTTATATGCCTCTGTTTCCCAGATGTGCAGCACAGAGATAAAAGTGCTGCTGAGCCCAGCTTATACAGCATGGCAATGGGAAAAGCTTAAAACAATTCTTTAATTTTTCATCAAATGCTCTGTTTGTGCTATTGTTATTTAAAGGTGTCACATTACAGAAATTTTAACAAATGCATTGAAAGATTTTCCTTCAACTTGATTCATCCTTCTAAATATACCGAGCCAAGAACAGCTTATACCAACTTGACAGCATACCATTATAAAACAATGGCAGAACATGTATTATCAATTACACATGCAAAGTGACCTAAGTACAAAGTCACATATCCTCCCAGCTTAGCTGCTGCCAAAAATGCATGTCAGAAAAGGTTGAATTGTCTGAAACAATATGCACAGTAATTTCACTTTGGTCTTACTCTTTGTAACCACCTATTCAAAGACATATCCTTGTTAAGCACCTCAGTGATACATCTCATTTGGTAGGCCAAGTCCTCCCCCTTAGATTAAGAGTACCACAGACTCTACTTTACCAAATGCACCACATTTTATGTTTGTCACAAGAACTGTGCTGGGTACTTTGCTCAACTTCCTCTTGAAGATAAACATAAAAATACTATTTTAGATTTCTTCAAGCATCACCAGATGTCATACAGCAAGACGACAACTAGTAACAGAAGCCTGGTCAAAGAACCTGTCAAGCAGCATCTGGTACATACAGACAGATTTAAAATTAATGCTGCTTCTGAAGACAAAAAAGGTACTTTCAAAAATTTTCTGCACGACACTTTTATAGAAAAATACTGCAAAGAACCCAAAACTGAAAAACTTGAAGACTCACTGACTTTATCAAATAGATAACACACGTTTAGCACAATGAGTCTATGAATCAATCTGAGTTGTTTTGAGTATTGCCTCAATTGTCCATTCTTATTCAGAGTCTTGTAATCCTGGGTTGTTTTGGTTTTTTGTTTTGGGGGGGGCGAGGGGGGAAGGAAGCAAGTGTGTGTTAAAGAAAGGTTGTAGTCTCACCCCTGTGGTGGTAAGACTACTAAACCACAGTCACTGGTTATTCAGGTACAAGAAAACTTAAAAGTAAATGCCGTAATTGAAGCTAGAATCAAGTTTCTCAACATGCAAGATTACTTCCAGTATTTCAGCTTTAAATAAAACACTCTCACAGGACATTTTAACCAAACCCAGGAACTTAAAACAGTAGTTCACTTCTGTTACACAGAAAAGTTGAAAAATTCGCAACTTGAGGCCTTGTTATAGCACCAAATGTTCGTTTACATTAAAAAAATAGTTTAAGGATGCCTGCTTTTCCAGTTTTGCAATGAAACACCTGATACCCACTTGCTTTGGCTGTTTTCCCAGTTATCCCTGTTTTAGCACGTAACTATACCATGATGGCTTTCCAAAATGCAATTTCTATTCTTTCAGTTGTGAAATAAAGGCACCCATTTGAAGAAGTGCAGTCTAAAATAAAGACTAAGTCTGTTTTCACATAAGCAACTCTGTTTAAGCTGCAAGTATTCTGCTTAATTCAGGTATGTTCATTCTATTCCTGCAAAAGGCTGTAGTGAATGAGGCCAGATGGCCAAGACAACAGTCTCCCCCACTATACAGCTGCAGCTTACATTCAGGACTACAGCCAGTTGTGTTTGGGGAGGAGGGGAGCTATTAACCTCAGAAATGCAAACTTCTTTTAGGTTTTGTTGAAATTAATACATGATCTAGAATATGTCATCATTATGATAACAGACCCTACAGGTGACTACTGATACAGGTGTACATACCACAAAGTCAGGGAAGGATTAACAGATTAAAAGGAATCCACAGTTTGACCCAGTAATTACATTGAAATAGTTTCTGCAGCTCCAGGAACAAAATTCCTTTATGTCATAGTGCAAACATTAGAAACACTAACTTTAAAAAAACTATTAACGAAGTTTGAAAAAAGAACAACTTTTTGTATAAAGTCTTTCTGGAGAAAACGGAAGTTTCATTTAATCTATTCTGATGCATAGACTCAGTAGTTGGGAAGTAACCCAGAATAACACCTCAATAATCTCAAGAGAAATAACTCCTCCTAGAGTGTGCTGAACCAGTGATTTTCTTCCAGATCAAGAAATCATTAATGACTATTGAAAGTTTCAGACAGAATATGAAACAAGGAAGCTACATAATGAGCAACTGGGAGGGATTAATCTTGGCACTTTAACTGTACGGAAATCCTAGTGACGCATCTGTTGCGGGTAACAGAAAGGGGCTGCCATTTCATTCCTGGTTGAGGTTCTCCGCAGTCTCAAGCCTTGCAGCACATAACTATGAAAGGAAAAGATACATGCCTGAGCACGTCCCTTGTCCCAACATGAGAAGGGGGAGGGTTAATCACGTCCATCCGCCATTTTCTGAGCGGAGGAGGAAGACATGTTGGAACAAAAAAAAAAAGCAACAAAAGAAAGCAGCCATTTCCATTACCGGCTCCAAACTCTCAACCTCATCAAGAACATTGGCTCTTACCAAAGCAGTCTCACACTGTGTTCTAATCACAACAAGAATTTCTCACAGCTCAGAAACTGCTGAAGATCTCACTTTTAAAGCACAGTATGTACAGGCAAGAAAAGACAACAGGCTGGTGGAGAGCATACCCAACTTGTTCTAAAGCTTGGAAGGGAGTATTTTTCCCCCAACAGCCCAATCCCTCCCAGATAAATCTTTTTTTAATGGTGCTGTCTGGCCTCACACTAACATTAAAGAAAAGTCAGCGTGTTGGCATACACGAACGATTCCTACCGTATATGTGGGATGCCAACTCCTCCCTGCAGAATCTTGTATAGTTTGCTTTCATACAGCAGCTGGGGATGTCTAGCCTTCTGAGATTCCAACTTTACAGCAACTTCCTATAGTGAGAGGGAACAAGGAGTCAGAGCAGAGCGTCCACCAAGCACAGCCTTGCCACTGAGGTTTAAGGGGCACAGTACTTCAATATCCCCCACACACCCCCACTGGAAATGCTCTGAGATATATTTTTTTTAAAGCTCTTGGCACTCAACATCCTGCATTTTGTTGCGTCTTCAAATAAAATCCATATCATGATGATTTGTACACAAATATCCATTCCAGGTCATGAAATTGAGCTAGAGATATAAAGTCTTCAGATCCGTGTAAGTAAGAAAGAACATACGTGGGTGTTTCTTCTTTACAGCTCAGAGCCGTGAGGGGGAGAAAAAAAAGAGCTGAAGAAACAGGGGATCTTCTTTGTTTCTATTACTGTTGATGAAAATGAGAAAGTGTTCCCCAGCTGAGAAAGAGGGGGATAGATGACTGGTGGGAGAGGGACGACTTTGGCCGCTCATAAAAGACAAAGTATGTTTTCCCACAATGGAGGTCTTCATGAAGACAGTGCTCCCCTGTCAGAGATGCCAGAATATGATTAGGAAGACAGACCAAGCATGAATCAAAATAGGAAGCAGCATCCCTGAGCACTTCTGAAAGCTGAGTTGAAGTAGAATTTCCATATCCAGGGAGAAGGAAAAGAAATAATGAAGGAATAACAACAAAAGGGTCAAAAGGCATAGGACACTTTGCCACTTACCACACAGATCATGCATACTCACTCCAGGAGGAGTGGGGTCTTGCTGCCTAAAAATCTGTGCAGTGCTGCTTGTACCTGTATGATTCATTTCCACCATCTATATTTGTGCCAAAATATAGATAGATACCCATGCAGGTACATCCCTAGGTGGAAAGACCAATAGACACAGACAGGTGGGGAGGCTTCCTTTCTTCATTTTGCCTTCTGGAGATCTTGGCATATTTCCTCCTTCATTTATTTGCTACTTTATTGACTATACAACTGAAAAAATGGAAGAAAAAAAAAAAAACCAAGAAAAAAAAAAAGAGCTGAAGAAACAGGGGATCTTCTTTGTTTCTATTACTGTTGATGAAAATGACAAAGTGTTCCCCAGCTGAGAAAGAGGGGGATAGATGACTGGTGGGAGAGGGACGACTTTGGCCGCTCATAAAAGACAAAGTATGTTTTCCCACAATGGAGGTCTTCTCTCCCTACCACTCGCAAGCGAGCTATGCAACTGCGGGGTGGGGAGACCACGACCGCACGGCTCTGCTGTCGGAAGGGGCAGTGCCCCCCCGGCAATGAAGGCCCTCAGGCGGGGGAAGCCCCTCACCCCGGGCTACGCACCTTCACTCTCCCACCCCGCGGAGACTGGGCTGCCCAGTGCCCCGCAGGCAGCGATACCGGGGGCGAGGAGGTCAAAACCAGGCGTCAAGTCGGCCTCGGGAAGGTTACCGCTGGTCTCCGGTTCCCCCCGAGGTGCGGAAGGACCACGCCGACAGGCCCGACGAGGTGAGAGAGTGCGAGCCGCCCTTACCTCCCCGTTGGTGATGTTGATCGCCAAATAGATGTCCCCGAAGGAGCCCGACCCGATCTTCCGCCCCAGCTTGTATTTGCCTCCGACAATGAACTCGGCCTTGGAGCCGCTGCTATCGCCATGGC